ACCACCTGTCTGATTGAGATCGAGCTGATACGGTTCGGCGACCGAGAAGGCTGGCCATTGAGTTGCAGCTGTGATATCTGCAGTATTGTTGGACGAAGTAGAGCCAGCTGCTACGGAAGCCGATATTGATGGGTTGCCTTGAGTGATGAAATTTCCCCAGATGTTCATGAATGCGCGCTGGAAGTCGGCGCTTAGGTATGGCACTGAGCCTAGCTGTCCGAAGTATCCTTGTACGTCGGCACCATGGGTGGCTGGGAGAGGGCTGAATTGGTACTTGTATGATGTACGATTGTTGCCAGTGTATGCTTCTGCCATCCAGTATGACGGGCATACGAAAGTCAGTTCAGCGTAAAGGTTGTTAGCACGCTGCTGCTGTCCTGTAGCAAGCGAACTTTGATCGAGCGCACTAGGTCCAGTGACACCATTCGTCGCAAACTCATCAGCACTAGAATCGTTCGCAGCGTTGCTGATTGGGTAGTAGCGCAGCACCTTTGCGATGTCAGAGTCTGTGAATTCGGGCAAGTTGTTGCGAAGCCAGGTGAGGAAGTCGTCTTCGGAGGTGATGTCTTGAGGTACGAATAAAGGCCCCTCGTTAGCATTGTTTCCGATCAATGCATTTCGCCCATTCACGCGATTTTCAAGCAGCTGGCTGCTGGGCTCATCCTGAACGAAGATATCGTCGGTCACTGGCAAGAAAGCCCAAGTTCCGAATGTCGCAGTGTTTGTCACATCGACAGAAGCACTCTGTAATGTCTCCGTATCTTGTGATACCAAGCAATCAAAGATTGTGGAGGATGCGTTGCCATATGCGGTAACCGAGCAGTTTGCACGATCAGCAAAAGCATAGTAGTTCTGTGACGGAATCCAATGGTCGTAAGCATACTGTTTGGGGAGGTATGGCGACGCAGCGATGGTGCTGCGGAACAGAGAGTCGCCCAACGAGCCACCATAGGCCATATCTTGAAGCATGACTGATCCACCGCCAGCACTTTCACCAGATATGGTCACGGCTGAAGTGTTACCTCCAAATTGTTCGATGTACGTCTGGACCCACTGAAGAGCGAAAAATTGGTCCAAGAGTCCCGCGTTTGCAACACCTTTTCGTACTACTTCGTCAGACGCGAGAAAACCAAACGGTCCCAGCCTGTATTGGATTGAAACAACGACAAAGTTATTTCCAGTCGTCGTAAGGAGTTCAGTAAAATCTTGTCGGCCATTGCCAGCGCCATATCCACCACCATGAATCCAAACAAGGACGGGAAGACCTGACGCGTTGGCTGGGCTTTGAACGTTCAGGAAAAGGCAGTCTTCCGAGGTTGGTGTTGTTGCACCACCTGATTGCAAGCTCGGCTGTCCGTTGAAGCCGACTTGTTGGCATTGAGGCCCATAAGCATCAGCGGAGATGGTTGAAGTTCGGTTGACGGATGGTGCTTGGGGTCGTTGCCAACGTAGACTACCGGTCGGTGGTGCAGCAAAGCGAATTCTTGAAGCAGTAGATCAGCATCAGTTCCTCACCAGTGATGGATAAGCATACCCTCGCCAAGTGTTGATACCAGTGCTCGTGTTGCTGGTACCCTGGTAGATTCCATAGCCTAGATCGACTTCTAGAGCATTGGCTGTAGTACTCTGTCTCTTGCGCAAGACCTCTTTGAACGGCTGAGGATGAGGTAGCGCAGCAACCGCACCTGAAAAGGTCACAACGCTTGCGATGAGGGATGACAGTAGCATGATGATGATTGGAAGCGATACACACAGGTCTGAACTGATGCTCAGCTGCGTGATGCACAGGTACTTTTAAATTGCATGCGCATGCTGGGTTACCAATCTCGGACGCATCGTCACCGAAGACGACCGGACTTTGATTGACCAGGCACTCCGTTCTCGGGTGAAATATCGTGCGTCCTGCCAAGATGTGCTAGATGCTACGAGTGAAGCCGTCCGTTGATCCGCGACACTAAAAAACAAGCCTTGCCGCGGGATGACGCCTAGCTCTTCCAGGTAGGATACAGAATACCCAACTATTGGCTAGCTGCCACATAACGGCTGCCATGATGTGCCGAAGACTGGGATTTGAGACTCTTCGGCCCCTAGCTCTCGGGTTGTATAGAAAGGACGGCATGGGTTACCGAGGATCCACCCCTCAAAAGAGCGACGAAGTCGCAAATTGGATATTAGCCATACCCCGCATACCATTGTTCGGATTTAAGGTCCATCTCATTTTTTTGGTATCCTTGACGTCTGGTCCGTGTGCTTTGGTTGCTAAGCATCTCGCGTTCGCTCTCTCTCTTGTAGCGATCAGCATCGGAAGTCTCGGACTAGCATGCGCTTTGAACATTCAATGTTCTACTCTTTATCTATGTCTAGGAGGCAGTACGAAGGGGCTGTTGACCTTGTACGTATCTACCGCGTACGCGAGCATGACGTTTAACACCTGCATGTGCCGTTTGCGGAGTTAGGAGTTCTGCGGACGCTGATTCAGTGATTGCATCATGATGCCTCTAGTGTGTTGAGATCTAGCTCCAGAACCGAGGGTAGAAACCAATTCTGCACCTCGTCCTTTTCCCCGGAGTCTGTGGTCAATCTGGATCTCGCAGACGGCAGATGCAGAGATCAAGTGTGAATAGTACGCGTCCTGGGTACGCGTCCCGACCAGAGCCACTGCTCTGGTACCTACCAAGGCCGGTAGACACCATCTCTTCTTCTGCTTCATTTTGGATGCGAATGCAAACGAGAAGAGCAATGCGAATGCTTGACCTGCGAGAGTTGGTTGCAGCACCTTCAAACTGAGGAGATGTGTTGTTGCGATGGCATCGAGTCGGTGGCTTCGCGTTAGCTATACCTCCCCATTAGTCCCCATCTGCAGTCGCCTAGCGTGTTTGCTCTGCGCGTTGAAATAATAGCTTTTAAAGGGCCCAGTTGGTATCGCCAATGTTCATACGACTCTTCAACACTACCTCTTGTATCAAAATCGCGCAAATTCGCCTATGATGAGAGGTCGGAGCGGCACCCGGGAGACGCTCATCGGTTGGTGCTACTAGGCCTTGTTGTATCCCGCACCCATGGGATAAGGAGTCGTCGGAAACAACGTTCGACCCCTCTGGCGCACCGTCGTCTGGCGTCAGGTGTGACGATGGGAATAAGAAGCTCTATAGCTCTTCGTGCTCCCAATAGCTTGCTGATAAGGGTGCATGCAACCGAGTGCTACGGGCAGGTAAGCGAGGCATTGTGATTGGGTTGTATGGCCGCTGCACCTCTCGACTCCGCCACCACGCCGGAGGATACGGCACCAATAGCTCGTGTCTTCAGTCTGACAATAGAGGCTGAGCACAAATCCGATATTATGGCCTCAGCCACCCATTCCTCCTCCGTTTGCCTTGCGAGGACAGATTCGAGCCTTAGACTTTTCCCTCCCTAACCCTACTGCTTCTGTCTTTGCTACAGTGACATTGGCGACATCATGATCTTTGGCGGCCTTGAGATTGTTGCAGGTGGATACCTCATCCACCGACACTACCGGAAGAAGAACGACAAGGAGCAGCTTGAGGCAGAAGCCCAGAAAAGGCGCCATAACACGTTTCCTGGTGCCAATCCGGCGAAGCAGAATGGCTGGAACACGCAAGCTCATCATCGTCCTCAACACCATCAGCAGCAGCAGCAGCAGCAGCAACAACAACCTGCGGTACCACAGCAGAAGTATGCGTGCTATGCTCCAGCGGCACAGCCTCGACCACCGATATACCAACCGCAATGTCAAACTCAGGCCCAGCCTCAGTACCAATCCCAACCTCAATGCCGACCGCACGTGCTTCCCCATACTCAGAGCTTCAACATTCCACGGCGGCCTGTACCGCAGCGGAAACCTCAGATCATCATACAACCTTCTCTCCAACGAACCGACTCCTTTGCGACGATATCGCGCATGCCCATCGCGAACGGCTCACGGCCACAAGACATACCTGAACAGACTAGCCCTGCGGCTGGTCTTTCACCTGTACCGCAACATGGCATCTATGGAAATGCAGGCTTCTCGATGTCGACACCAACTTTCGGTGCGACGCCTACATCTCCTGGGCTGACCTACGAGTTGGCTACCGAGCCTCAGGGTGGTGCTAGTCAGACTATTGATGACAACTGGGAGACATATGGACATGGCCATGGTGGTGGAGGGCTACATTACGCGCCCACCGTGTCCACTGAACTGGGCGAGCGGGATCCGCCGCCTCCTTATACGCCTTGATACATGCATGGAACGTCTCAACCCTTTCTTCTCTTCTTTTCACTTCATTGCGCTATCTTCTACTTATTGTATACTTTAATACAAATATTGAGTACACATGCCCTTTGCAGGACTACTGTCTGCCATCGAATCTCAGAGCTAGACCTAGTGCCAGCTCGGTGGATACGTGTATGCCGTCACCGAGCTGAGTCTCGTCCGCAAACAGGCGCAGTAAGGAGACACCCAGCACGGAACTACACAAGACAAACATCTGCTGTCGGTTACAAAATCTTGCACAATGTGTTATGCAGTAGTGTCTTGCCATCTTGCCATAACTGCGACACCATGCGAAGAAGCACCTATTAGGCGTTTGCGCATGGTGGAGGCTATGCAATATCGGCGACACCACTCAGCCTCGCCCGCATTCGGTTAGTGACAGGAGGCATTGAGTGTTATCCTCCCACCTCTTCCTGTTAGTTTTCGCAACGTCCTGCATCTTACAACAGACTAGGTGTGATGCACAAAATCTCTCTAGTCATCGCTTACGGTGGCTGTTTCGTGATTACATGGTAAACTTGGGCTAGGCGACCGCTGATGCTATAGTACCGTTATTACCCCTTGCAGATCTAGTCCCATCTCCTTACTTATTCAAAGTGAACACACATGCAACCTCAATAAAACATCTCCCGGCAAACTTACAGAATGCCCGACTCAACTACCAAATTAAGAATTATGCCAAAACTCCAATGCCGTCAATCTTTGACAACCTCACGAGTAACCCTGGTCAGATGATTCCACCAGCATCTCCCGCCCTCCACGCTTCCGCCCACTCCTTGACCGCTTCGTAGTCCCTACACACCCTCGCTGTATCCCAACCTTCGGTCCCGATAAACTCCTCTCCATCTTCACCAACCATCTGATGGGTCACTTCTAGGTTGGTATCAGCAGCACACATGAGTGCTTGACGCAGGTACTCAAAGCAGTGAGTGATGTGGCCGGGATCGTCGTCCTCATCTTTGGCCGACAGAAGAGCCTCTATGAACGGGTTCAGCTTGAACACTGTAGGGGATGTATGGTCATGGCCGTTTCCGACGTGATTTTCGGAGGATGATTCGGGCTCGCTATGGGGAGAGCCGGTGTTAGGAAGCGATCTTGCTTGAGGTTGCTGATGTTGGAGTTTGGCGAGCTGGTATGCATTCTTGTAGAAGGCTGTTCGAAGACCGTGCTATTTGACTCGATTAATAGAGGATCGTGTACGCTAGTGGTGGGAAACCATACCAGACAGTGTATCTCATGAAACACGGCAATAGCTTTTACCTCGCCGTTTTTTGCTAACTTAGGGTGTTGGATGAAGCCTCGACCTTGCGGCATGATGCTTTCCCAAGTCTCTTGCGTCTCCAGGCTAGGCTCCGCGGCGAAGCTGGCGTTGGCCGACCACCACACGTTGTCAATATTACGGTGCGAACTGCCCCATTGTGCTGATGTCTAGTAAGTATGGCGAAGAATGCTACACGCAGGCTTAATCGACTCGTGCAGAGAAGGCGATATGGAGCGAACATACCAATAAACCCATCAACTTCCTTCTCCAAAGTGAACAGTTGGCTGAGGCCGAGACCGACTAAGAAGCTTAGCAGAGCAACAAAGAGGTATCCGCATATGTGCATGCAGGACCAATGCCAGGGCCGTCGAAGCCTTTTAGCGAGCAGCAAGTCTTCATCTGCATCATGTTCCTCTTTCTGAGCGGACACGCCTGGAGAGATGCATGTGTCACCTTCTCCCTCGGTCGAGGTTGACAAACGACGATACGACTTGGCTTTCTGCGCAAAGAGGTTGAGGCTCAACATTGTTACATGATAGAAGAAAAAAGCGCCGCTATGCTGCGGTATTAAGAGCAGGCTCATATGTACATGTGGCAAGGCCCATGCTTGAGATATTAAATTGGTTAGATTGACTCTATTGGCAAGACTGAAGACCTTATTCAGGATAGAAAAGAGTAAGCCCTTGGACACGGGAAGGATGCGCTAGGATGTGGACGTTCGGAGTGAAAACAATAAGGGATATCTTGATTCGGTAAACGATCAGAAGACTAGCTTATCAATTCTCCGCGCTGGCTGCAGCATCGCTACCGTCATCAAAGGGTGTCGTACAGTTCCTCGCCATTCGAAACCCAGCTGCCGTGTGGCTAAACATACTCACGTCTATCTGCATCGTGTGGTTGGTCCGCCATAGTTCCCAGAGGTTGGGTCGTATGAATAGAGACTAGTTTAGCTTCTTGTTGCCGACCGTGACCTGTCTGCCTTGGCTGCGCTGGTACTGGAGGAAGCCAAAGACAGCAGCAGCGACAACGCCAAGCATAAGGACATTGCCTATCGCATGGTTAATATCTGCACTTAGGCTGGCACGCGAGTCGGGGGTTTCTTTGCCAACTTACCGAGTATGAAGCTAACAATGCCGCCAGCAAGGTCCACAAGCCCACGGAAGAAGTTAACAACGAGGTCGATGATTTCAGTAGCGAAGTTGAGTGCGAACTGGGCCGTCTTCTGGACTAGTGCTCCAGCAGTAGTGAAGAAGGACCACACAAGCTCGACTAGGGACTTGACGAGGTCGCTGAGCGCGTTGACGATGGAAGACATGTTGGTTCGGCTGTACTTGTGGGTAATGGTGAGTGGTGTGGTGTAACAGGTCTGAGGCGAGAGTGTTAGGTGGAGATAATGCGGTGGAGCTTTAGAGGGAGAGTCTTGTTTGTGGGAAAAGTTGTGTTGGTTCGTGTGCGACAAGGCGCGACTGCCATCAAGACATGTCGATGACTTCCAAGACGCGGAGAATGACGCGGGGCCTACGTGAGAGTGTGTGAAACTTGCTGTTCCAAACAGCTGTTGCCGGCGATCTGGAGGGCGAGGCCTGCCTCTTGCCTGCCTTGCATAGCGTTGCTGGTTGGCTCTGCGGGTGAATGGCCGTTGTTGTGGTGAGATGTGACGTCACATGTGTAACGTGGGTGAACGCCTGTTTGTGCAAGAAAATATGACGAATCAGACAATATCAGAGAAGGCACGATTTTAATTGGCAGAGACAGATGATTCGACAACAAAGAAAAGCAGATGAAGGTTCTGAAGAGAAGGCGCGATGAGAGTAGAGGACGCTGGCCGTTATGGGATGGTGGTAGTATCCAGCGCATACCCACGGTCGTTTATTCTTCTAGTATTGCTACATGACGTGTATCCTTTGGAGGGAGATGGTAGACTGTTGATACGACGTGTATGCCTAGAGGCGTGTTGTTGTAGAGGGAGGTCGTCGTCATTGGCGGCTCGGCAGCTCGGCTTGAAGCGGAAACCTCGTCGTACCGTCGCTTCCTTTGTACCACGGCAGCGCAACAAGATGCCTACCTTTGACAAACTCTTAGCGAAAGGCAAGGCGAAGCTCTCGGAGTTTACTGGGCAGCCTTCAGGCGGCCATCACCAACAAGGCCACCCGAACCAGGGCTATCCGGGCCAGCAGCCTCCCCAAGGTTATCAACAGCCTCCCACAGGCTATCAACAACCACCTCAAGGCTATCAGCAGCCACCGCAGGGCTATCCTCCGCCAAACCAAGGGCAGTACACGGGGAGCCAATATCCTCCGCAGTATCCGCCCCAGAATCAGCAATGGGGTCCCCCTCAGCAGCAATGGGGTGGTGCCCCTCAGCAACAATGGGGCCCGCCGCCTCCGCAACAGCAGCAGTCTTTTGCACCACCCGTCCCCCAGGGTAGCAAGCCACAAACCCCTCAGCCTGGCGGACCGCCGCCCACTCCACAGAACAGACCGCAGTCTGCGCAGCCTCCTCCGCCACAAAACATCCCCCCACCACAGGGCGAGCGCGTGTACTGGAAGCCGTCCTTTGACATCGCGACGCCCGTGTCCCAGAACTTCCGACATGAGATTGGCGACCATGGTTGGGGCAACGACGAAAAGCAGATGTACACGGACAATGCCGCAAACTCGTTCCACCACGACAACCGCCTGATTGTACGCGCCCTCGTCCAGAACGGGAGCTACACTTCTGCGCGCTTGACCTCGCACCAGACGCTATCGCGACCGCGCGGATACTTGACGGCGACCTGCCTACCTCCTTCCGCACCAGGCATCTGGCCTGCGTACTGGATGCTACCTGCTGACCCCTTCAAGTGGCCGACGGACGGCGAGGTCGATCTTGCTGAGAGCTGGAACGGCGAGACAGAGAATCACTCGTGCTTGCACTGGGGCTCATACACCGGCGAAGACGCACAAAAGCATCGCGTAGTCAAGACATCCCTGCCAGACTTGGCACGACAACCACACACATACGGCTTCGCTTGGATCGAAGAAGAGGGCATACCTGGGTGGAGAGGGCGCATGATCTGGTACATCGACGGTCGGCCAGTCATGAAGGGCAGCATACCTGAGGGCACCCGACGCATGGAAGACTTCAGGATACTCATCAACATCGCTATGGGCGGCACTGTGAACCAAGGAAAACTTCCAGCGGACGGGTACTACGACTTCGTCATCAGCGATCTGAAGATGTGTGAGGAGCCACAGGGTGGATGGCAACAATTCGAGCATGCTTGGAACAGCACGCCTGAAGGCAAGGCCATGTAGCGACACTTAATTTCAGCTAATTGGCATACCACGTTCTGTCTTTAGCTTGATCTCAGATCCTTAAGTACCAGCTGAATGCATCTGTGCAGCACATGCAAAGTGGAGGCACTTCACTACGACTACCCACCTGTGAGCGCTAGTGAAAGTTCTAATCCCCATATCTCCTGAACCACTGACAAGAGCAACAACTGGTTGCGGGCTGAGTTCCAAGTAATATTCCACTCCTCTCTCCACACGGTTTTAAGCTTGACAGCCGCAGCACGAAACACCATCAGTACAACGCTCGACTAGCATTTCAGTCTAGCAAAACACTGCTTACATGGCCACTTCCAGCAAAAGCTTCCGGTTCATGAGCCTGTGAATCCGTCACCGAACTATGTTTCGAAATCGGAGGGAAACTTTGGTCACCAGAGTCGACCAGGAAATGAATGAGATACCCAGATGAGGCCACCAGCACTATATGCCAGACTAACTATATGGACTCTAGCGCCCCTTGTTCCTTCGGCTACCTGCTATTCATAAGGCAATATATTGACGATTCCATGCTCCATCCAAACAAATACCTAGCCACGGGTAATCACAAGCACTCCAATATCCATTCTCTCTCTTCAGACCTACGAGATCACCATGTCCGCTCCGCCACTTCTAGCACTGCCTGGCGAGCTTCGCAACCGCATCTACGAATTCTGCGTCGAACCCAAAACTTTGTACATTCCGAGGTACCCCAAGCGTACAAAGAAGCATTACGCACATGCCCGCTGTCGACTGTATGGCAGCCTTCGGAATGTGTGTCGGCAAATGCGAGCAGAGTTCGGATCGCTGTACATGGCCAAGAATGTTATGGTCCTTCACCAAATCACCGCAAACGCATTTCTCGAAACTTTCCATCCCGAACTGAGGCAGCCGGAAGCCGTCAGCGAAGAGTCGCTGTTAGAGCGCAGTACCGCCGATTCTAGCGTACAAAGCAACATCCTGGTTATGACATACTTCAACCAGCGATACGATGCTACACCCCTCGCACGCCTTTGCATGAAGCATCCCAACTTCAAAGTCACTTTCACCGATGCGAGTGCGTCCCTCCGTCTCGCTGTCGTCCTAGACGACTTCTTCGCCAAAATCTCGTCCGGTGTATTTCGTCCGGACTTGGAACGCCTTATCCAAAGAGTCGACATCTCCTGCAGCATGCTTCCTGAGATGCGCTTTACTTTCCATTCTAGACGCGCAATGGAGGATCTTTTTGAACAGGATGGAGCTGCGGATCCACGGCAGGCGCTGATTAAGATGGGTGCGCCGCCTATGAACGCTTTCGCTATCTTTTTCTTAGCTGAGACTGAGGATGTGTATAAGCGCTCTGCACCACTACTTTAAGTAATCATGTCTGGAGTACACTGGCCCAGATCTTTTTCATCGCTCACTTCTCATGACTGAAATGATTTGGTTGTTAAATGTGAACAGGTTTTCTGTCTACCAAACTGTCTAGCGTGTTTGCAGATTGATTACGTACTGCACGTGAAGGTGAAGCCCCGCCACCAAACACCATGTAGGCACCTGGCGTTACGCATGATCCCCCGTTGCTTGGCGGTCGCATGCTCTTCTCCACTCATTCATCTCTTACACAAGTATTACCTACGACCGACAAAACTCCGTGAATTTCATTCATGGTTACTGTGTAAGCGCAGAGGCAGCAGATTACAATGAGCACTCAAGACAGTCGACTTCTTGCCCTACCAGGCGGTGCGTGCTTCGTTTGGATCAATCCAAACATGGCTGACATAGTATACAGAACTGCGAAACAAGATCTACAGCTTCTGCGTGGAGCCGGTGCCTGTCTCGCTACGTCTCCGCCACGAAGACAACACTGAGCCAGTGGGAAAGTTCCGCTGCTTAATGCAGACATGTCGACAAATCCGACGCGAATTCCAACCTCTCTATAAGAATCAAACCACCATTCGGCTAGAATCCACCTACCACTACGCTCGGTATATCCGCGATTTCTACCCCCCAGCTGACGAGGATACTATGTTGCGTTACCGTGGAAGCATCATCAGTTTAATCAACCACAGCTCTGATACGTATGGCGAGAAAGAATTCTACGATGTTGATATTGCTCGTGTAGTCCAGCTTGTCGCACGTTCGCCTAATGTACAATTCAAGTTCGAACTACATGAGCGTTTGCGAAGATTTAGTGCACGGCACGCTGTCGCACAAATGAATAGCATGCTGGCGTTGTTTGCTGATCCGTCCCAGTCGAAGTGGCGCGACATGGCCAAGGCAACCAAAGAGCTGAGGCTTAGGATCTGGAATAACGATTCGAAAATAAGAATCACCATGAACGAGGAAATGGCCAGGCAGTGGAAGAGTACGGTCTTTAGGATCTGGGACGACGCAACTGAGCCCACGCGGGGCATACGGGAAATCAGGCTTGCATATGCTGATTCAAATGCAAGTTGGCGCCCTTATGTTCGTCGCTACGAGTTCCCTTTCGATGACTATCGGGACAAGACCATTAGTTGGTCATGGAGTGTTCCGTAAATGAACACTAAATCATTGAGATGGGCTGCGCATTGTGAGTAGATGCAGCGCCATGTGGATGGAGATTCGTGCAAGGGTACTTTTGATGTCTTCGAATCATGGATTGGGTTATTCGATTTACCGCTCAACATTGCATATCAGATATTGACTGAAGGATATTTCCTGTTCTCGGGACGGCTGCTCATTAATACAGGTGGTATGATCTTTGCAGATTATGACATATCTTTTCTATTTTTCATTCGTATTGTCCAGCCGCAGACGAGGCCTAGTAGTACGGCTGGAGTAAGCACTCTACCTAGTCCAGTATGGGAATGCTTCTTCATATCTGCATCTTAACTCCCCACCTCTTGGAAGTAACATGATTATCATGTACGCTACTAATGTTGATGGATCAGCGGTCGTGAGATGCTTGAGTGTACGTTCGCAACCGCGGGCTGTGACATCACAGCAAGCTCAATATTGCTAGTTGACAAGACCCTGCATGCCTGCCACGCGCCTTCTACGCGACGCGATTCACGATACAAGTGCAATCAACAGCGCTGACCTGCGAGTTGACAACACATTCTCCTTACCCATATCATGGACAGATATGCGCCCGAGTTGTCGATGCTTCGTTTGAAGCGACGCCGTGACGATGACCAGCAATGCAATCACTATCCGCCATCGAAGAAGATCGCCCAGATTACGCTACCTCTTTCTAACTTTATGCGACTTCCTGCGGGTAAGTAAGTCCTGTAAGCAAAACGTTGGGCGGTTAGGTAACATACGTGTCTAGAGCTTCGCAACCGAGTGTACAACTATGCTACTATTGAAGCACCTTCTCAGCTACTCGTACCGGTCGAGAGCTTCCAGCTACAACAGCAGGCCCAACGCGCTACCGGGATAGCAATGACACAAGTCTCTCGACAGATCCGATCTGAGTACCGGCCCATGTGGCTCAGACACGCAACGTTCGTCATCGACTGGCACTCCATTCACGCGTTCTTACAGGCTTTCTATCCAAAGGAGAGCGAGTATGGCAGGGGTCCCAAGGAACTGATCCTGCAGTACGACCAGGAACACGACTATACGTTCAGAAAACCGACGGACATCACACATCTAGTACGCCTGGGCTTAGCATTCACCGGGTTGCAGATACGCTTCATCAAGGGCGAGGAAAGTGACGACCAGAGCGACGCTGGGAGCACTCTCACAGAACTGGTGCAGTTTGGTTGTATCAATCGTGATGACCGCCAGAAAGATAACAACGTGGCCGCCGAAGCCAGGCGTACGTGGCGACAGGATATACAAGAACGAACGGTTACCAATATCTTCGCTACACAGAACTCTTCAGACAATATTCTAGTGTTCGAGTTTGTATTCAGCACAAAATCTGCTCTGGAGATGAATGTTGCTTCATTCCAAGATATCGGCAAGGAGGTAGGTATTATGGTGTTGCTCAAAGATTTCACAAGCACTCTACACTCATTACCTGGCTATAGGCTTCTGGCAACTCGTCGATACTTTCCCAGTTGAATCAAAGGCAACTGGAGCTGAAGCGCGCCATCATGGGCTGAGTATCATAGTTTTGAACTGCGAGTAGGTTCGCGAGTGAGTAGCCCTTCATGTACCGTATATACCCAGTACATTCCAATCTTTCATATGGAAGGTCCTTGTAGCACTGTGATGAACATTGAACGTACTTCACCTTATTCTTAGTAGTTGTCCTAGATGGATCACAAAGCAGTATGTAGATTCAGAGCACGGGGTGTCGTGGTAGTGCTGTCCCGAGCGAAGACGACATGGGACCGACGTGTGTCAATCTCACTCCATCTTCGGAAGCACCAAGACACATACGTACGGTATGCTCATGACTCATATACCTGTCTGGTATCTGGTGAGGTGTACCAGGCGCAACTTACTCTTACTCTTGAAGGTCTCGCCAGATCCGCGTTTAGTAGCAAACGACGTGCCTTCCAAATATGAGCACCACTCAGGCATCAGTACTAGTAACGCGCTAACACCCTTGGAGGGATTGCTTCACTAGACCCTTCCACCTACCCTCTCTCAACTCACTCAATCGTTCTTTACATACATTGATAGCTACTACTCATAGCTGCGACCACCACAAAGTCCCTTCGATGAAACATCCTAGTGCCGATGTGAGGAGTCGAGAAGACTACTTCCGGTTTCTGGACCTGCCAGCAGGTAGGCGCAAGCTTGCCAATCAACATTACGACTGAGACTAATATGTCTAATTAGAGCTGCGTAACCGCGTATACGACCTCGCCGCCAAGACTCAAGCCGACCTACCGCGCTGCGTACTCCCATGTCTTGCACTTGCGCAGGCCTGCCAACAACTCCGTATCGGGTATCGCCCCATCTGCATCAAGCGAGAGATCATCATCGATTGGGAGAAGGTTCCCGGCTATATGCGCACTTTTTTCCCTACAGTCAACGGCAAGATCGAAAACATTGAACTCATACCAACGAGCATGACAATAGTAACGCCTTGGCGTGGAGAGCCAGGTGAAAGTGGACTTCAGCTCGACATACTTCCAATGATCAAAATTGGGCTGTATCAACCTGGTTTTACCTGTGAATTCATTCACGATGCTGAAAGCTTGGAAAAGATGAAAGTTCCTCCTTTCAATCCCGAAGACCCTCATTTCGGGGACCTCAGGGATATTGCAAAATTTCTCCATGAAGATACTGCGCCACTGAGGATTGTTATGAATCATCGTGGTGAGGAGTGGACATCGGATATCGAAACCGGCAGGATCACTAAGATCTTATTGTGTGATATCGGTGTGCTTGAAGAGCCAAAAGCCTTGTTTTATGTCAAAAGTGGCGGTCTGAGTCTGGGGGATGAGTCGGGTGATGTGGAAGAACAGGAGAGGAATATAGAGCATGCTTACTTCGAGATGGTAGGGCTTCTCGACATCTATCCGGGCGAGTTCATTACTTTTCCTGGCTTGAGGCTCGTTGAACAATCGTATTGATAAGGAAGTGTGTACGAGTCGGTGCCCTAGCCGAACCGTGTCTCACTTAGTGACACATCACATGGAATTCTCCTAAGCTTTGCTGATAAAAAATTGGATTCTTCGTGGAAAGTGCATCCTCAGCTCAGATACCAGTTTAGATAATTTGTAACATGCGTGCTTGTAGGGTCATTTGCAACCACTGCACACTCGCTCCCCATGAACACAGCGATACGGTCTCCTATTCTGGCAGGAAGGTGGGCGTCATGGGAATTCGGTAACAAATAAGATCGCGTATCACCGTCCACTCGCTTCCACTTCTCTTTCTCACACTGTTCATCAAATGGCCCAGCTTTAACGTCAATTAAAAGGTACATCCTTCCGTAGTACCACCATCTCAAAACTTGTTTTACAGCTCCAAACGCCCGGCCCTTCTACCTTCTTGCGTACCTCTTGATATCCTTTCTTACGCCAGTACACCCCATTAATACATTCCGCGGCCAAGATCCAGAGCGTCAACACACCTTCGCCCTGTTTCCCCTCTCTTTGAAGTGCAGCTCTCGCGTTCGCAACAAGATACAACTCGAGAAAGTTGAGCAATTGGACAGCAAGGCCACGATGGTGATACTTTGGATCACCATCCACAGACACGATTTTGATTTCCCACCCGCTCTCTTTCCCAGCGCTTTCTCTTGCCCATCCGCCTTTCCAAGGTACTGCGGCGGCGCACGCAACAGGTTTCATGTTTTCCTTGCCATTGACCTTTTCAGCCTCCTTCGCAACGCCGGATTCATCAAATATCAACGCGATGACGCTGCCTTCATCTCCAAGTAGTGTATGTAGCTCCCCCTCATTCGAAAAGCGGAATGTCGTGTTACTCCATTTGACCGGATCGATGTCTTTTGAGCGATAGAACGCGTCGTTGACGAGCTGCGTAACAGACGTTGATAACTGTGGATTGGCTTTCAATTCCGGTGGCGTAAAAAGAGTTGGGCTGGATAGCTTTGGTGTCGTCATGTCGGAAAGTTGGGTTACTCGATCAAGCTGTGCCGTTTTCGAAAATCAAGCCTCGATGGAGAAAGCTTCTGCATATTAAGAAGAACGCCATTGAGTCATACTGTAGGGCGTGAACAATGGAGATATCCCGCGTGGAGGCTCATGGCGTGTATTCGCCGACGCCTTGTCGGAATCGGAATAGCTTTTTTTCTTTGATTCCGACGGCAACACACCTTCTTTAGGCTGATCTATGGCCGGTCTAGAATTCACATCGTACTTTGACAACCGTCTTGCGTCCCGCCTAGAATTGTACTTTCTTTGAAACAGGTGATGAACTTAAATGTGGATTAGGTGCTATAGAATGCTGGGATGTCCGGAAGTATGCCAAGGTTCCAGCGCTTCGGATAACAACCAGCACCGGAGTTTGATCCGCAAGCCTATTCTTGAACAAGATTGAAATGAAGCCTCGTGTGATGACGAACTTTACAGGTCAGATCCAGGGATGGAGTCATGCCAACAGGATGAAGGATAAAAAGCATGTGTTTTGGTCTATCTCAAACGTGCTTTTGGGGGACAACAAGCTAGCGTGCATGGTATCATAAAGTGGACATTACAAAAACGCTACAGAAAGAGACGAAAATTTGAGGATCTTGCGCGATCGACGCGACAGCTCCTACCTTTCATTAATGCAGGTCGACAGGGGTATCTTAGATAGTACAAGTCTTTCATGCGGCATGCTCGGCACGCTTCATGACCACGACTGCCAGCTTGGCTTCTTCTGGCTTAAGCCCCGTGGTGGGTAGGGCGACTGATGCATGTTCGACAGTGGCATGGGCGTTGCGCTCCTCTCTTTCTCGACCTCATCGCTCAGTACAATGGCTGGCAAGGGCGTCAAAGACGACTTCTCCGTTGGTGTATGAGGATGTGACACGAGGGATGCAGAGCTAGCTGGAGATCTTGGTGATGCAGGAGATTTGGGTAGCGGGGGAAGTGCCTCCAAGTCATGTCCTTCAAAGAGCCTGGTGGATCGCATGCTGGATGCATGGGAATTGTGCGCCGTGGTGTAGCGACCAAGCTCGATGTCTTCGTAATCACGGTCGCAGATCATATCCGTTGTGATGGTTGAAGATGGCCGGATACCGGTGGATGGAAACGCTGTACTCACTGGCGAACGTGTGACTTGTATCTCCTTGTGGACATGTACGCCACCATGTGGGTCGACAGATACGCCAGTATGAGAGTCGTGATACCCTTTGGAGCTGTGCGCCCAGCTTCCGGTTGTGAGGTTTGGCGCGAACTTCCTCCATGAATGTTTCGACTTGGTTTGCGCGCTATCCTGGCGATCATCGGAGCCTGCTGGTGTCCTAGTTCTTGACCGCTGAGTAAGCTTCTCGTGGAAGAAATGCTTGAAGAAAACCTTCATGGCGGGAGCGTTCGCACACAGGCATCCAATATGCAGCTCAAGCATGCAAGTGAGAAATAGGTTCCACGTCGACCATGTGACATCGTACGTGCCATAGAATGTGTACCAGCTGTAGTAAGCTCGTACGCATCCAAGGGCAACAACACCGTAACCCATAGCAAAGATACCAAACAATGCTAGCTTTTGTCGAAACGGTATCTGGAGGTTCCAGTAGAGGAAGGTAGGAAGTATAGCGGTCAAGAGGTCTTGCGCCACTGATATAATGCTAGCAGCCAAAACATCGGCACCTTCATCGAAGCAGTGGAATTCGTACCCCTGTAGCACCTTGATGATATTGACTTGATCCCAGAACGCTGAGATTGGTTGGCAACCAAAAATCGGGGCCAGGGTCAAGGCGATACTGTAGGCGATGATGAAGATGATACTCGCCCATGTCACCCAGACGAACTTCCTCGAGACGGCTCGCGATGAGAGACGTCGGTAGAAGAGCAGAATGGAGACCTTGATAAGACCAGTTGCGACACAAAATATACACTCTGTTGCCAGAACGTACTTGCGGGCGATGACGATAACTTCGGGGTCGAATAGGTAGTCTAGGTCCCAGATGTGTCGATCGAACGCTTGATGACTCGCTAAAAAGGCATTAGCTTTGTTTTCACTGAGAGACTTCGGACATTACCGAGAGGATAGAGAACTGTCAACGCGATAGTTGGGATCTATCATTGTCAGCATAGCCATTGCGAGGCACTACGAGCAGCTTACGAGGGCAGCGAACATCAGCCAGTCTATATGTGTGAAGGCACGGAGTCAGTGTATGTCTCACATGCATTTCGTAGAGTCTTGACTTACCGTCCCAACCAGCACAACGTTGATGAAAGACTCTGACCCACATCCTTACAAGAGTCATCACGACAGTGATTGGTCCCATAATGCAGGCCAGCAGCACAATGGTATTTGGTCGAAGTACCGGATCGACATAGTTGGGTTTTGGCCAACTAAGCTTGACATCGAGGGGAGGATGTATGCCGCCAGGCATTGTGTAAATAAGTCAGAAAGTTTTGTCTTCCGCGGATTGCGTCCAGAGTATAAGAAAGTTCAGCAACGGCTTTTCTAGCGAAGGGATGCCTACCATATGTGCGTGGTGGCTTTTGAAGTGTGGGACATGTTAAATGGAGTAGGGGCGTGGGGAGGCGTAACAAACCCACCAGGGCTTGATGGGAGTGGGTCAACCACAAAAAACAAAAAGACATAATCGACCAATGCAGGCGGTGGGAATTGTAGCCGTTGAACGAGCGCATAACGGCAGTCGAAAGCCTTTCCGGCTATGTACCCACTCGCATATACGAACCTCAACGCGGAGATGGGATATACTCCGTATGCAATAGTTCGCGTGGCTGATATTAGTGTCCAAGATGCTGATCGGTCAGGTGTACCGACTCTTCGCTAAGCTTTATAACATGCACTCCAGGGACCATATCCTACTCTGGTCATTACTGATCAGTGGTCTGATTGAGGGGCCAAGTGGAGTGGCTGCAGCATAAACACTCGACCTTGGACCCTGGTATATCTTCAGTGTGGGTAGCTGCAAGGAAATTATCGTCGACTGCCGCTCCTTGCGCGTACACCATGGGCCCTAGGAAGAGTAAGGAGCATTGTGACGATGTCGGACCGGGTCGACTGGATTAAGGGTGCTCTTCCTTGCTTGACCACAAAAACACATGGGGATATTGACGAAACGCGAATCCGAATTTGCGTTGCCTCGCATGGATGGTAAAACAAGCGTAACCGACATTTTTCGAGCCAATATGAATGTACGGAAGTCGGGCACTCCCGCCACGGTGGTCCTTGTCAAGAATATATCCGAAGTGGCGCCTTTCGATCGATATCATCGTACGTGATCTTGTCGGTTATCGAGCTTAGAAATTCCTCAGCCATGCAGGCAAACGGGTCTGCAGTTCAAAGTGGTGTAGAGGGCCCAGATGTGACAAAGTTGCATATGGTGGCGAGCGTATGCAGTCACTTTCGAATTGGGAAGACTAGGTGGAACTGCAACTTTGAACCAAAACGAGATCAACAGGTCCGAAAGTTAAATGCGGAGATGACGGGGGGTTGCAACATGCCGTCATCACATGTGCGCAATAACAGGTTCGCAGCTAGGTCGCAGAAATATAAGCTCGCAATTTGCAGGAAAAGGTAACAGAGTTGAAGCAAAAAAGTAAAGCCGGGTAGATCTGGAGCTGTCAGGTACCGGTGAGACGACGAGGAAGCGTTCGCACCCCCTGCCTGGTGTGCATCAGACTTGGCGTGTGGTGGGATCGGGTCCGGAAAGTGGGGGCGGCGTGGAGTCTGGAGCGCGAAAGCGGACGCGAGAACTGCAACAGCGGCCTGTCTACCTAAGTAGGATAGGGTGCTGTGAGCGACATGTGATGCAATTCTTGGGATACCTGTTCCCGCGACTGCACAAGTAAGGCGAGAGACTTGCGTGAAGGGCGCAGGAGAAAGAGACGTCGCGCGGAGAAACACGACATCCGCGCGTAATCAGGCGGATTCGATGACTCCAGCCTTGCGCTAGTATCTAGAACGGCAAGGTGCGACGACAGTCAACCTGCAAGAGAAACCTACTCAAGATAGCTATGTCAGCATCCTCGTTCCTACGACGCCCTTCTCCCCTATCCTCGAGCAAACAGACGCCCTCTTGTGAGTCACACAAGAAGGTGAAGATGAAGGATTCAATTCAGATGCACACAGATATAATGGGATGGTTCCTGGAGATGAGGTTCATAACCAGTAATCCAAACACAGCCTATTGTATACACACTCAAAATGTCAACCTCCACCTCTTTCAATGACGCTTTTGTGTCGGCAGTTACGCCTGGCCCTGAACGCCTTTTGCCAGGCGTGGCTCTCGGTGCTGCAAGAGCCCTTGGAAAAGGTATGGTCTGGTTTTGCATGTTTGCTTCTTCCAAAACACTTGCCAGGGCCGTTGAGTTTAGCGTGCGTTTGACAGCGGCACGTTGAGATGGACTGGGCAAATGCGACCAAGCCATCGGATGTTGGTAGCCGTTGGCACCGTCGGCGACCTCGCCTGTCATTTGTGTTTCTGTTACATGGCCCACCGTTCGCCGCTAACGTCTTCCACAGCTGATATTTCAGATCCTGAGGACTTTCTTGCTGCATATGGCACATTGCAGCTGGACCCCACGTCGCCGCCAGTGTCGCCCGAGACGACTGTATGGCTTGCCTCCTGTACTAAGCTAGTGACGACCGTCGCAGCCTTGCAGTGCGTCGAACGCGGTCTATTCTCACTAGACGAGCCTGCTGATGTCGACCGTCTACTGCCTGAATGGAAGAAGCCCATGATCCTGACTGGCTGGGCGGACAATGAACCCGTCCTACAACCCGCAAAAGAAAGCATCACATTAAGAAGATTGCTAACGCATACGAGTGGAATCGGCTACGATTTCCTCTCGCCTGACTTGATGAGATGGAGACAAGTCCGCAAAGAAGGAATTTTATCCATGCAAGCACCCATCACGCAGTGCTTCACGACGCCTCTTCTATTCGAGCCCGGATCTGGCTTCGCTTATGGTGGCGGACTGGATCTTGTGGGATTGATGGTCGCGAGGGCCAACAACTGCACGCTGGAAGCATACATGCGACGCAATGTCTTGGACGTATTGGGTATGGACAAGACGTCTTTCTATGTCAGACACAACGATATCAAACAGAAACTGATGCCAATGACGACTCGCCCTGCACCTGACGCAGATCTCGTCTCTGGCGAAGCATCGGGTAACCCGCTGGTACAGCCGCTGAATCCTCAAGATGAATATGGTGGCGCAGGATTGTTCAGCAACACGGAGGACTATCTCCGACTTCTGAAATCGCTTCTCCGGAACGATGGTAAGCTCCTTGAGGCGGAGAGTATCGACCTCATGTTTACGCCATGTATTTCGTCTACTGCACAAGATTCGCTCGACCAGACCTTGTCTGTGCCGCATATCGCTGCCATTATGATACCTGGCGACGCCCCAATGGGCACTCCTGGCGCTCGGAAGTGGTCACACGCTCTGGGTGGGTTAGTAGCATTGGAAGATGATGCGGATGGCGGTTTGAAGGCTGGTATGTTGCGATGGGGAGGTGCACCTAATCTCAAGTGGTGGATTGATCGCGAAGGCGGCACTTGTGGCATATTCGCAACGCAGCTGTCGCCGGCTGGCGAGCTGCGACATGCGCATCTAGGTAAGATGTTTGAGAGGGAGGTGATCGCAATGTACGCTTGAAGACTCTGCCATGTACGAAATTGCAATTAGCAGGGCTCTTTTGGGAGAGAGAATGGGCATCAATTGTATGTATTTCCCCCTTTTGCGACGGCAAATCAATTAGAGACGACGAGATGCCCCACCTGCATTGTGCCGCTAGATTATGCACGGTGACGATGACGGTCTGCACGATGGCTGACACAGCAAATTCTGCCCATGACGTAGTCGAGGATGTGTTTCGGCCGGCGAACTTCTTTCTACTGGCGCCCAATCAAGACTCGCAGTGGCACTGACCGCCTTAGTACGCCCGGCTAGGTGTGGCTTACTCAGGCTGCAGAATTCCGCATGAGGACGCTGGTGTCGGCAATACTGGCAAATATTCTCGCCATGTCGCATGCGACGGACGCGGGCGATGGATAGGCCAGCAAATCTTTCGCCCATGGCCACGCACGTCAGATACATAGGGCGCGCGGCTTCCTACCAGAGGGGCTGAAGCTTGTTTGTCACTATTGACAGCACCCGCACTCAACTCCCGGGAATACGGTCACGACTAGTCGCACCGTCGCACATTAGATCCACGCGATCCACAACGGGCTCGACGTCAGGCTCGAACATTCACGAACTCCGTCCCGAGTGCCGACGACCGCGATTTTCCTTCGTTTCCAGGCGTAGCCGAACCCGTGGTCAACGTTCCTTGAGGAAAGAAGAAGAACAAGAGCGTGGCCATCATGCAGGAGGAAGACTACGAGATGCTGCGCAATGAGGCCAATGCGAGCCCTGAGCGCTTTGCAAATTGGGACCCGCACCGTCAATTCCGCGAAGAATACCACCAACGACACTTGCACGATCAGACACCCGATGAGCGGCTACGGAACATCGAGGCACACGAGCGAGGGGAGCGCACCGTGAGTGAGCGGTCGTTTCCCCAAGAAGCAGTTGCATCGCCCATCCGGGAGAAAGAAGAGGAAGTCGCCTCGCCTCTCTCACGACACAGCACATCTTCAGCCTCGACGGCAAGTTCAGCCAGCTCTGCGTCGACACACAGCGCGCGCCTCGAAGAAATACGCACTGCCCGCTCAACCCCACGAGACCGCCGACCGACTGTCAATTCGCAAGCCTCGAGCGGCAACTACCTGACATTGCATCCTACCGAGCGCGACCCCGAAGCCATCCGCCGCATCGAGACACACAGGAGCCAGCATGCAGGTACTGTTGGTGCATCGCGCGTCGACTCGCGCTTATCGAGAACCCTCACGCGCCGCCGCACCGAGAAGCCATTGCCCAATATGGGAGCTGGAAAACCCTTCCCTCCGCTCCTGCCAGACAGAGAAGAATACGTTGTCGAATTTGACGGCAAGGAAGACCCATTGCACGCGCAGAACTGGCCCATGAAGAAGAAGATTGGTATTGGTGCCATCCTAGCCTTCGATGCCCTCACAGCGACCATGGGCAGCAGTATCTTCTCAGCTGCTACCGGAGCAGTGTCACAGCAATTCGGCGTGGCCAATGTTGTGGGTACCCTAGGAACAAGTCTGTTCGTCTTCGGATATGCTTTTGGACCTCTGGTAAGTCAATGCTAGCCACAGAAATGTGACGGAATATGCTAACGATTCTTAGATGTGGGCGCCCTTCTCCGAGTTGTACGGCCGAAAACCTCCCCTCATCATCGCCGCATTCGGTTTCGCCATCTTTAGCATCGCCGTAGCTGTAGCCAAAGATCTTCAGACAATTCTCATATGTCGATTCTTCGCTGGTCTCTTTGGCTCTTCCCCACTCGCTATCGTCGCAGCTGTCTTCGCGGATATGTTTGATAACAGACTTCGTGGACTCGCCGTCGCAGTCTTCTCCGCGACTGTCTTCATGGGTCCTCTACTAGCACCCTTTATTGGAGGCTTCATTACGCAGAGCGATCTAGGATGGCGATGGACCGAATACATTAGCAGTTTCATGGGCTTCCTGTCGTTTGCGCTGCTCTTCTTCTTCATGGAAGAGACATACCCACCCGTGGTACTGATCAACAAGGCGAGCGAGCTGAGGAGACGAACTAAGAACTGGGGTATACACGCAAAGCAGGAAGAAATCGAGGTTGACTTCAAGGAGTTGATCGTCAAGAACGTCAGCAGGCCTATGCGCATTCTCTTCACTGAACCAATTGTGTTGCTCATCACCATCTACATGAGCTTCATCTGTAAGTTTGACCTATCCGTCGAGTTGTGAGATACTGGGCTAACAGCACTAGACGGCCTACTCTACCTCTTTCTTACCGCATACGCACTTGTCTTCCAGGGAGTATATGGCTGGAGTGCTGGTATTGGCGGACTTGCATACTTCGGTATGGTTGCTGGTGAAGTCATTGCTTTCATCATCATTGTATGTGACAATCCGCGATACGTGCGAAAGCTGGAAGCCAACAACAACATTCCCGTCCCGGAGTGGCGATTGCCCATCAGCATGGTCGGTGGTGTGCTTTTTGCAGGCGGCCTCTTCTGGTTCGGTTGGACAGGCTACACCGGTCAGATCCATTGGATTGTTCCTGTCCTGAGTGGTCTGTTAACTGGCTTCGGTATCTTCTCCATCTTCCTCTCACTACTCAACTACATCGTCGACGCGTACCTCATGTTTGCTGCCTCTGCCATTGCAGCAAACACCTTCATGCGCTCTATCTTCGGTGGCGTCTTCCCGCTCTTCGCAACATTCATGTTCAAAGGTATGGGTATTCAATGGGCCAGTACTCTGCTTGGTTGTGTAGCAGCTGTACTTGTACCAATGCCTGTGGTTTTCTATCTATATGGTAAGAAAATCAGAGGCAGGAGCACCTTTGCGCCTGCACCGGATATCGCGCAAGATAAGAGGAGGGACGAGGAGAGCAAAGGCGCTGAAGGCGTTGATGCTGGAAGCGGGGAGACGACTGAGAGGGAGAGCATGGACAGGGCGAGAAGTAAAGACGAGTAGCGGCTTTAATCTTGTTTCAACCTTTTCATTTGCATTTAGCGAACATATACCTTTGTAATCCGAAATCATTTCTTCTCCATCACGACGGAACGCTCAGGATCAAAAGGCGCAGTCATACATGAGTTTGCAACAGTATTTGTTGGTTATGTTCCTCCCTCAATAGAGAACGGTCTTTGGTATCAATTCTTCTCTTTTCTCATTACTACCTGCTTATGGCAGTACGTATCCACCATCGATGATGCAGTCGCTACCAGTCATGTAGCTGGATGCATCGCTACCCAGATACAAGAACAATCCCTTGATCTCCTTGACGTTTCCCTGTCGTCCTAGCGGAATCATCCTCAATCCCTCGTTGATAACCTGTGGTCCGGCACCCATCTTTGTGTCAAAGAATCCCGGGCTCACAATGTTGACCCTAGCAAACTCTCTCCACTCTCTTGCTAGCGACTTGCCCAGATGTGATACAAAGGCCTTTGTGCCGTTGTATATGGGCTGATCAACGGGGACGTTGACGATGTGTGCTGATATCGAACTTGTGAGAATCAAGTTGCCGAATCCTTGCTTCTTGAACACTTCTCCTGCGTACTTGGCGCAGAAAACTGGGCCGTCGACGTTGACCTTCATGAGGTTGTGGTAGCTCTCGAGTGTCTGGTCGAGAAGTGGTTTGCTGTCTCCCGTTCCAGCGTTTGCGACAAAAACATCGATGCGACCGAAATCCTCCACGACCTGTTGAACCGCTTTTTGCACGGCAGCAGCGTCGATTTGGTTTACGCTGTAAGCTTTTGTCTTTACGTTGTGCTCCTTTGCGAGGGTCTCTGCGCGTGTGATGGCTGCGCTGTTGGAGTTGTACCAGAGGGCTACGTTGCCGCCAGCTTCAGCCATGGCGTCGGCGACGGCTCCACCAATTCCTTCAGCAGCGCCGGTAACGACAATTGTCTTTCCTGCCATGCTGAATTGTTGCATGACATTTGTGGGAGTGTTGGGGACAGGCTTGGGGAAGCCAGCGCGAGGCGTCTGGCATTCTTCGATTGACATTGACATGTTTGCGGTTTTGGTGAAGAAGACTTGCTGAAGAAGCACGGGGTATTGGTATAAGAACTTTGAGTAATGGTGAGTACAGTTCTATATATGAGAAGTCGGAGTCGGAGGTCAAGAGCTTATGTATCTAGACGCGTGAATACGAGCTGCGGCAAGTTTGCCGAGTGAGGCTCAACCGCCGAAAGCTTCTACGGAGCATCCTTTACCCCGCCAAGGGACACATTGAATGGTGTTGCGTCACGGGGTGGTGTTGCGGGGCAGTCTGGAGGACTGTCGTCCGGAGTCGGCGGGATGATTCCCGGCTTTGGTTGGTGTCCGGGGTGGTCGGCTTACCTTCCTTCTGAATTTGCGCGGGATCCTACGTCGGGTGTCTGCTTACGACTGCCTTCCTCCTGTACCGTGCGAAAATGTTGTATAGAATTCTCCACTCGCATGCGACTCTTTGTCGATGTTTCCAACTCGTAAGATATGTTCAATAGGTCCGATGCTACAGCTACGACCACTTTTCCGCATGCACCAATCACAATGCCGAAGGTGTCATTCGTCTTTCTTCACCAACTGTGTATCTGCGATTGATTGATGAAACCGCTTCTCTAGTGGCAAAAGTTGGAGTGACGAACTTGTAAAACACATGAAGGAGCGCACTTTATCAATATTATGCGAGCTGTGAGAACACGTGTCTCAAGAGTAGGCATTGTTGCTTTTCTGTTAGCGCCTCATTCTAGGCCATCATTTGTACGATTGGGACAGGCCTCCGTGTTCTGGAGATGAAAGTTGTTGTGCAAACGGAGAGTTCAAGGTTGCCACTGCCTCTAGTTTCTAGATCCTTTCCTTCACGTCCTACAAATGAACAGTACAACAAATTGATGTGAGCAGTGACCTTGTGCGGATCCTTCCTAGTGACGCGCTCAACATCCCATCATAAAACTACAAGATGGTCTTTCCATTTCTCGAGCTCGCAGCGGGTAAGCGCAAAAGTGGCAGTCACACTAGCTGTGGTATATCAATTAACAAAAGTAGAGCTGCGCAACCGCATCTACCACTTCTTCGCCGTCCACGAGGAAAGACACGTGCGGATTCGCAAGGCCGATGAAGTATCTGGAGTCTTCACTGGGCTTACGGGCGTTTCCCAACAAGTGCGAAGCGAATACCGACCGATACAGCGCAGCGTGACTCAAGTCACTATATGCTGTAACGACATCAACGACTTTGTCAACACCTTCCTGACAACACATCAAGACCGCGTCCATCCTTTCAAGTCTATCTGCATCTCGGAGCAAAACTGGACTACAAAGTCACAGGATCTCTTGCCTCTTGTCAAGGAAAAGGTCGCAAATTCTGCCTTTTGGTGCAGGTTCGAAGCGGATGTAGATCAGCGCGAGGACGATCCATCGTCGCAAACTTTCGGTCGCATCCAACAAATTGAGTACCAGAGAGGTTGCGTCACAGCGCTGAACGAAATGCTGAACAACGAAAACGCAGGTTGGAGAGGCAAGATACTGAATGACGAGATCACTGCGCTCAGACTATACATCTGGGCCTTGCCTTTTCATGGCCTCCATGTGTCTTTCGGGTCCGGTCACATCCCCCAGGGTATCATCGCGTTTCGTACAGGTGATGATAAGGAAAAGATGGCGGAGTTCTTCAACCATATGTGGAAGTCTTGGGGGTTCACTCCTGACTTTAGGAAGTTCCTTGTGGTCAAACACTGCGAAGACGGAATTGATATTGGCCATTATTGAGAGCGCGCTTCGGTACTCGAAGTTCTACTTCCTATCGTGTACATAGTGAAGTGGATTGCAGGCGTCTCCAGATGACAATCATGGACCAACAGCTGGAACTTCACATCAGCAAATACACCCTTCTTTGTATGCAGTAGCTGTACTACACAATTAATCTTACAAGGCCTACCATGGGCCTTGAGATTTCTTATGGCCGCGTAGTAAGCTTATCATCGGCCGCTTGGCGCAAGCTCTTGCCTGTGCTTTCGCTTCTCTCAGCCCTGCTTCAGAATCTACGTCATCGATACACAGTTCCGCCCCGTCACTACGTCAAGGGGAGAAACCAAACATCTCATTAGAGCAGAGTACTTCTTCCTACTACAACGAATTGTATTGCAGCTATATAAATATTTATAGAGAATCTAGAAGTCTACAATGCTGTTAGGCTATATAATCTCTATTGTTAGGAGCTAATGTAATCTGTAAGGTAGAGCTTGTTACCTTCACCTGTTCGATTTTTCTCCTGTATGAGGTGCCGTACCGGATAATATCAAACACGACCAGGTCGTTACCCCTCAAAAGCATCTTCTTGTGTTATCGCGTTGAGATATCTCTCATAAAACCTATGCGGAATCGTGGCACAGTTGTTCGTCATGCATACTAGAGGAAATGATCTGTACTTTTCGTACTCAGTTCGCTCTTTTTCCAGCTACAACCACCACGGCAACCATCTCGAATAGCTATGACTTCATCACTCTGGATACTCATGTTCGCAGGAAGTTACGCGTTATCACGGCGTGGCTCGTTGCTACCTCCGGAGTTGGCAAGCTGGCTGAGAGAAAGTGCTTTCTGCCTACTTCAAGTACTCACTCGATAACACCTGCCTCTAGCATGCTGGATCCATAAGCAGAAAATCATGTGGCTCAAGAAGGACGATCTTATCAGCCGACGGCACACGTCTTGGATTCAAGTGTATACGTGGCCGTTTGCGAGATCGGAGGCAGAACCCAAACGTCCTTGCCGCTTCACTACGACAAATCACGTTGATAAGAGCCCAGAACTCTCCTTCCTATTGACTTTTGATGCTCTCTTGAGTATAGTATGTCGCAATAGCTATGGGAAACGCTGACAATACGAGGGAAAGCACCACCCACGACCACGCCACTACGCCACGCGACGTGTGCCAGCTATCGTACAACGATACATTCGATCTCTTGGCCACTCTCCAATCTACAGAACTGTAATTGTAACGCCAAGAACCGCTGTTCTCTTACCATGAGCTTAATGTCTAGGTGACCTTCGATTCTAGCAATTTCCCCAGTCACCGTCAGAGCAGCTTGGGACAATCATCGTTCGTGCCACCCTCACTCACCTTTACTTGTTGGGTGCATATAACCCCTCCGACTGTCTACCCTCCTTTACTTCTACACTCAGCAATCGACTATTAATATCCTTGAGCTATTGCAACTTCCCCAAGCACGAGAAACAAGATCAAACAACTACGAAGCAATGGCGTAAGTTCCAATTCATTGCATGGGGATATGGACTATACTAATACAGTCAGTCCCAGTCGTCCAAGCACTCCGCCCCCTTCTAGGTCTTCTACAAAGTTCAAGCATCCTCCACTCGGCCCTGCTCCGTCAACACCTGGTCCCCGCCAAAATGCTTTCGACGACACCGCCAATATCATGATGGGTTCCGAGCATGCCATTGTCCCTCCTTCTCCCGGGGTCCCTCTTCCTAGCTTCGAGGCGCTCAGTGTGAGTGCCGCGCCTTTGCGAGATATGCCATCCCGCAGGAACAAGAGCAAGAGCAATGCGCGTACTGGTGCTGGCGTCAAGAAGCAGGCCAGAAAGAAACATGACGACAAGACGGCGAAGCTTACAGATACTCTCAATGAGAAGACCGGTGTCGGTGCTCTAGCTTTGCAGAAGCCTTTCCGATTCATGGATCTCCCAGGTGGCAAGTGCTTTACTTCTGAACAACTGTGACATCGGCTAACTGTTGGTAGAAATCCGGAACGAGGTATACATGCACACTCACGGTCGCCCTAAACAGGCCCTGCTAGTATACAGGCCACGCATCGCGTCTCTCCGTCCACGAACCCGTCTAGATCGCGGGCGTACTCTTGCGTCCGACCTCGCTGGTCAAGAACAAGATGAAGAGATCCTGAGCGCCAGCAACAAGTCCGGCCGCTCAGCCAAGTCCAAGGTCAAGACCGAGCTCCGCGAGACCAATCGCCCCTTTTGGGGTCTCGCTCAAGTTTGCCGGCAGATGAGGATCGAGTATCGCCCAATCTACATGGCCAAGCAAGAGATTGGCATGGACCTCACTGAGATAGTGGACTATCTGCAGACGTTCTATCCTACCGCTAACGATGTCGTATCCCAGCTCGCACCCCCAGGAGAGCGCCGGAACGACGCGCCCTTTGTCGGAAACCTTACGATTGCTGTAGGCGACAAAGCCAACGACCTTGAGCGTGCTTCAGACGGCATCGAAGTCTTTCCGCTTCTTGACATCTGGTCCAACAGCCTCAAGATAGAAGCTGGGTTTGGACGCTATCTCAAGGCCAACTACATTCCGGAGACTGATGGTGAAGCCAAGGATCTGTGAGTCTTCCTGTCTTTAGCATCAGATTAACATGGCCACTGACCATCTTGCAGCTATCGTCTCTTTGGCCGCCGCGTGCTCAAGAACCGCTCTTGCTCAAGCATGAACAACCTTTGGCGATCAATTCTTCGCAGCAGGTCTCTCGTTTCAGTCCGCATCCACCGCAAGCCAGCCCCTCGTATTGCTGCCTCAGCCCCAGCTGCAACCTTTGCTGGAGTCCAGCCTCCTATTCATGCTGCGACTAAGCCCTTCACTCACATCGTCTTCAAGACAGACACCGCGGAGCCATGGATGACTGAATTTGAGTCTGTCGTCCCGAAGACACCTACCAATTGGCTAGCGGAGCGCGGCTTTGGTAGCATGGAGTACTTCGAGGTCAAGGTCGGCGTTGAGCAGAATGCCTCCAACTAGCTGATCTATCAGAATTGTCGGCATTTACTTGAACAGTCTGGTGCAACGTTGACATTCTCTTCCACTTGCCGTCCTGATACGGACGCATACGAAAGTTTCTTGGCCCCTGGGCCGATATCCTTACGGAATGTTGGTTGACTTGCTCAGAATTGGTAAGATTTACGAGGTACCATATATGATAGCATACCGAGGTTGATGATGGTCGACGACTATACGCAGGCGACGCGTCTCGCACATCACGCCTTGAGCAACATCTAGCATGAATCAATACTTTGATTGAATATTTCCTAGTCCTCGTCTCCACCAATGTGACCGCTGATCTCGGAGGATACACTCAAACAGGTTGTCAAGATGGAGTGGCTGAGGTAGCTTGTTTCCAGAAAAGAAACATGTGCAGTCTTTTTTATAGCAGCCAATCATACTGCAAGATGCTCCACGAAGTCGTAACGCTTTTGCCACGCTTTTTTCAGGTATCCACAATGCTTCGGACATGAACAAGAGATGCAAACTGTCGATGCATGTCTATATTCGTGCGCATAACGTTTTTCCAAGGACGCCGTGTGTTCATGACCGCACGTGCACGACGTCATGGCTCGCCAACAGCTGCCGCGCCAAACTTCGCTCACGGCTCCGCGCCAACGTTCGTCCCGAACCTATCGCACCGGCTATCTTGTCCCAGGCGCCGCGCTCCCCAAACCCACCTATCTGCAGCGGAATGTGTTCCTTTTCCCCCCTGAACTCGCTACCCTGATGCACGACCCCCTGCATTCGCGAATGAGACAGGGACCGTTTGATGGGTAGCACAGCAACAACATGCGCGTCAGGTCATGCTGTGCAGGCTGCAACCCCTCGTTCGCTGCGATGCTTTTCCCGCGAGCAGGGTGGGCTGGTTTTTGATGATACATTGACATCCATTGACGTCTAGACTTCCCGTCTTCTGCTGGTACTGAACCCACAAGCGCACGCGAATCCCAGTAAGTCCGTGGTACTGTGAGGTCATCGACCAGGATGACGGCCAGCCGCAAACCTCATACACTACCATAGCTCACCAACCCCTCCCCAGTCGCTCGAGGTTTTATTTGTTCTTGGGGCGTTCAGGATATCCAGTCGTGCCGCCCATGTCCCTTTATGTCGTTCAGATGTCACTTGGCCAATAACTTCGACGATACTTTCTGCTGCCATCACACTTCCGAGCCCCAATCGCCTTCTCATCCAGATATGTCGCGACCACAGAGCATGCCTGACTTCGCCGCGCTCATGGAGTCTTCCATGTCGCAGACCGTCTTTGAGTCGTCTAGTTCGAACATAGAGAAGCGCATACACAGCCGAAGACAGACTTCACCCGAACGAAAGCCCCAGCATATGCGCAAGAAGCCCAGTATCTCGCTGGCTGCTGGACTCATGATGAACACCGACACCCCGCCAGCCACTGGATCACTTTCGCCGCGCAAACGAAGCCAGAGCCGACCCGCCCAGGATAAGAAGGTTGAAATGGAAGAGGGTGGGAACCTGTTTTACGCCTATGCGCTGAGAGTGAGTGATGCAATTGCACTGTGTGCCAACATCCGGGCAAGAGCGGCATACTGACTTATGCTATAGAGCGACTATCCTGCATCTCCCCCGTACATACTCACATTCGCCTCGGCCGCAGTCTGTTCGCAATGGTGGAACCTCGTTCAGCAGGAATACACCTCGTCGTCGCGTCCAAGCCCGCAATATTTCGTCGTCAGGAGCGAGGACATGGAACTCATTATGGAGGACCCCAAGTTCTCCGACATCCACAACAAGTGGTTCTACACATGCCAGGATAGCCCGACCTGCCCGCCAATAGTTCTGCCCCTGCAGCATGCAAACGGTGTTCCCGCCGTTGCGCCTCCACAATCAGCTGAAGAGAAAATGAGCACACCGGCTCTCGACAGCTTGGCGGAAAGCTTGACCCGACTGGCACACGTAGTGGAAAGCAATGCAGAGCAGGTTCACGCGCTATCGGTTGCGCAATCGACAGGCTTACAGGCGATGCAAGAGATCAATGAGTCGAACAGCATTCAGATCAAGGCCATTTCCGAGTCCCAGATTAAGCTACAAGCGCTAGTCGACCAGAACGCATCGCACTACATCGCCCTATCTAACACATCGTTCCAGTCGCACGAGCAGAGCAGACTAGCGCAGGAACAGACTCGAAAATCACAAGAGCAAACACGCAAATCTCAAGAACAGACTAAAGACATACTCAAGACCACCGTATCTCAACTCCAGACTCTGTCCAAGAACCAAGTCGAGCTTTCACAAACATGTCAAGGCATGATGCGTAGCATTGAGACCCTTGGCGACTCCGTCACTCAGTTCACTTCAAACGTCATCTCAGACACTGCGAGCAACCAGTCACTCTCCACCACTTCATTCAACGCCCTCGCAACTCGCATCAGCCCGCCACCGCGCAAGCTGAACAGACGAGTAAAGGGTGTTTGGTACGAGTACGACAATGTGGGTTCGCCCGACGGCACACCAAGGAAGAGAATCGATTCAGTCAGCGTAGATACCCCGCCGAAGAGCCCGGTCATCTTCAAGCATGTCTGACGGTGGTACGGCTGGCTTCGAAGCATTCGCTTGACACCCCCGACAGAAGAAGAGCTCAATGAGGAAGCACGAAATGCACGACGACCATTACTCGCTGCTTGAAGCCCTTCATATATATATCGTCGGCTAATGATGTCTTCTACCGAAGGATGAGAAGCTCCGCCTAGGCCAGCCGTTTGTGTTGTGCATAATATTGGCGTTTGGAGCGAACGGGCTATGACTGGGTACGTATTTCTTAATGACAGCGAATCTATTATCTTTTATTTTTGGCGCATTGTACCAAAAGTCTGAGTTGAAGCAGCTGGCTGATGCTGACCAGTACCATGGTCAGCGAGTCGAGAACCACGGATGAGAAGCGCGGTTGCCTATTTGCTGACGTGTTACTGCCTCGCACTTCTTATATGAAGTCATCCGCACTCACTCTTTCTAAATTATTCTCTCGTTCCTTCTAACCTTTACATTCTACGTACCTGCCTATAGCAGGTGCTGACGCAAAGAGATGTTGGATAAAGAGGAGCTGACACCGCTTCTCTCACACACCAGACATTCTCTTAACAACTATTCATCACAACTTCAATCCACATCTCAGACAATGCCTGTATACCACCGCACTCACCACCGCACTCGCCACCGCACTCACCACCGCACTCGCCACCGCACTCACCACCGCACGCCTGCCCAGCAGCGCACGCCTGCCCGTCAGTTTAAGCTAGACACCGTTTCGAACACACAGAAATGGGCGACGATTAAACTTTCGATCATATCATTCGTTATTATAGTCTGGGTCCTTACACACTACCTCACAGAGAGAGGCCACACAACAGAGACTACTACCTCTACTGGCACAGGTGGTGCTAGCGCTAGCGCCTCTTACACGGCACCCTCCCTCTCTCGCTTTACTGATGCTGCGGACGCTACCAACGTGGACGCGGCCGTACTCATCGGCGGTATCTCGATGGCTCTTCTTGGCGCCTAAGCGTTTGAAGTATAGGGTTACTGCTTCAGCATCAAATGGATCAACCCAACTCCTGGCGCCCATCACGATTGGACGGTCTTCAATTACTCCGGTGGCACGGTCGGCGATGAGGAGTTCGATGATACAGATAAGCACTGGGATGTTGCAACGTGCAATCGTACAGCATGGACCGACAGTGCATGGGATCAGTCATCTACTGATCGAATGACTCGTTGCTGGTTCAAGTGCTAGAATCTAGGAATGAAGACTCAGGAAGGCCATGGTGAAAATGTGAGGCGTCGGAATGGTACACGAGTCTAACCAAAGACATACTCTGTCACTGCGCCTAATATACGTGTCGACTTTGCGATAGCTGTGATCACGATCAACAATATAAAAGATCATGTCTTTTCTCCCAGTCAATCTCTTCTATACACTTGGTCTCTGTACTGCTTCTTTTCTCATTGTTCATCCTTGACGCTTTCGCAACGCAAGGACACGACATTTGACGTTCCACCTCGCCACCCAATTTGGATACGGAAGCCACACTCCGCCTTGTAGCAATATCCGCCCAATCTATCTCAGGTCACGTCCACGCCTTCTAGAATAGTCGTGGAATAATCCACCAAGAGACTGCATATGATCTCGAAACAAGCTTCGGTCCAATATACGGAAACCGGGTCGGGCATTGTCGCACAATACACACATCTGCACCGAATGGAATTAGGAAGTGAGTTTGGAGCTATATAAACCACTGCCTACAGCAGAGGCATCGAGCTCAGAGGATTCAGACAGCCCAGAGTCTATTGGCCTCACCATGTTCGTCAACGCGCTCACCCTTCTCGGTCTCATCACCACCGCATCCGCCCATGGCTACCTCAAGTCGATCTCTGTCAACGGTGGCGCAAACTACCTAGCCTGGCAAGTAGGCCAAGACGACTATCTGACTCCCGAGCCCATCCGCTACGCTCGTCGCATCAAGGATAATGGGCCTGTTCCTGATTTCACTACAAAAGACATAACTTGCAATGTTGGTGGTAACCTGCCAGCCAAGGGTGTCATACCTGTTATGCCAGGGGACAAAGTGTATGCTCGCTTTCTTCTTTTGCCCCCTCACCATCGCCTCCTTAACACGAACTCATGTCTTCGATACTAACCTCCACCAAGCAAACTTCAATGGGATCAATGGGGCTCTTCCCACTCAGGCCCCGTGATGAACTACCTCGCCTCCTGTGGCACCAACTGCTCAACTTTCAAAGGTGACACCGGAACACCCTGGGTCAAATTCGATCAAATGGGCTACGATACCACTAAATCTCCTCCGTGGGGTTCGGATTTTCTGGCCAAGCAAGGCGCAAGTTGGACTCTGACAATACCTGCGGGATTGAAGGCAGGTGAGGTAAGTTATGTCTGTACGAAAGGCATATGGGATATACACTAACTTCATGCCTTCACACCTGCAGTACCTACTTAGACACGAGATTCTGGGACTGCATGTTGCAGGGACGAGGATGGGTGCGCAGTTCTACCCTGCGTGTGTTCAAATCAGCGTAGGCGGAAGTGGGTCAAAGGCGTTGCCGGCTGGAGTTGGCCTACCAGGTGCGTATGATCCAGATGACAAGGAGGGAGTGCTTGTGCAGCTTTGGCAGGTGCAGGCCGGGCAAAGGGGATATACACCACCTGGTGGACCTGTCAAGACTATTTAGGAAATCAAACAGAAGGGACAGAGGGAGCAGAGGGAGCAGAGGGAGCAGCTGGAGAAGATAAATGGGGTAATCTTGTAGTGTGAAAACGAGACCAAGTTACCCTCTTTCCAATTACCTTTGCATGAATGTTCCAAGTCCTCATAGGGCTGCAACGAGCGTGTGCTCGAAAATGGTTAATTTAGCACAGCTACCAAGGCCATCATGTGTCTAACGTCCTAAGAGCGTGCCGCTAACTCTACAGCGTCGTGAACTATTTCCTCAAGAGTCACCTTAGGTAGATCCAGCTTCCTGTTCCATACCTCTTGCTCAGCCTCGAAGTCATACCCGACATCCACGTCAGCACCGAAACTGATAGCTAGCAAAGGAAATGTTGCACTCAGGTCTCCAGCATCGAACTGATCTCGAAACCTTTTGATATCCGGACTACTCTGCTTCTCCTCAACAAGAAATCTGGTCTTCGTCTCCGCTTCTAGCGCGCTTACAATCTGTCTCGTGCTAGCCGAAAAGTCACACAAGAATATCTGCTTGTTCGCTGTCATGGCTGGGTCAAGTAAAGCTTTCGCAACTGCCAGCCCTGTATTCTTGCTGCTTGTGATAGCGAAGCGCCTCGTCCCAGAGTCGTATACTGTTGCCTTCCTCCCTTTCACATCGATACTGAGGAAGTTGCCGGACTTTGCAGGATCGAGTGCCCAGTCTAGCCAACTTCCGCAACAGATGCTGCTCCACGTCAGCTTGCCTTGGCTGTTTTCGCATGCCTTCATAAGATACTCCAACATCTCGCCCTTGCGGTCGTAGGTAGGGACAAGTGCACGAGCCCGGGGGTCGAGGTTGTTCGCGCCAAACTCGCTAGGGATGAAGCGTCTTACGTCTGCTGCGAGCGCAGCGTCGATGAGTCGAAACGCTAGACCATCCTTTTTGCCTGAGATAACAGAGCCAGTGGTAAGTGCAACTACGACTGCCTCCTGTCCCCTGAAAGCTTCGGTAAGTTCTTCGGTTGTGAAGGCGTCCGAGATCTTGATGACTGGGATATCGGACGGGAAAGAGGCTGATGATGATGCGCGGCTGACGATGGTGACGTTGAAGGAGGGTTCGGTGAGGAGTGCGTTGAGGATGGGTGCGCCGACCGAGCCGGATGCTCCGAGGATGAGAACGTTCTTTATGTGGCTCGACATGAGAAGGTCTGCTTATTGTGAATGGTTCTTCCTGTTGAATGGGATCAAATTCTGCTCGATGGTCTGTTGTCCAATTTTGTTCATCTGTCCTTATATAATATCATTCATATATTGTAACGATGTGGTGTCATGCTTCGTAATCGGAGTATGCAAACGACAATCTTTAAAATCCCCTCAAGTTTCTCATGCATCGGCCGCCGCATGCTGGTGTGATGCGACAGTTGTTTCTAACAATACTCACCAAGGGCTTTACACGATGATAGGTTCTTGCATGGTGTTGGATAAGCAGCACGTGATTATGGTCAACACTTGCGGTATAGTGGGTATGCGTGATGTCGGCCGCTGCATTTACCAAGGCATAGTAATCGTCGAGTCACGTAAGCATACGATCTTTGACGCCTGGGTGAACTTCATCCAACCAGTCGTCGACTGATATGATATAAAGTCCACCGCAGTTTGAACGGCCGGTCATGAGAGTCCCACGAAGCGCAAGACATGGCAAACATGCTGAAGTCTGTAGGGACGAAGGTCGTCATGGAATAAGAGCCTGGTACCACAATCTGGCTTCGAATGCCAGCCGGCGGCAGTCGTCACGCCGTCGATATGGTGAGACCCGGCCTTGTTAGTATAGCTACGTTTTAACGGCGAGTTGTTTCGGGCGCGGTGTCGGAGCATCGCTGGAAGGGTTGTAAATGTACATTGGGTGCTCGACATTTCGTGATAGTTTCTGTTGGGGGGGGGGGGGGGGGGGGGGTGGGGGGCGG